AGGCAGAGTGTTCCCAGTATCTGTGTCAGGAGCTGTGACGTGCTGAGTATTTTTAACTGGAGCTCAGAAGTCATCTTTGTGTAATTGAGAGTGCAGTGCCCTTGGCTCTGGTTTGTATGAAGAACACTTACTGCAGAGTCCAACGAGAACTGAGCCCGAGAGCGCTGGGGAAAGCTAGCTGGCAGCCGTGCCAACCAGACCGTCCAGTTACGCTGTGTCTAGCACAGCTCTATTAACGTGCCCACTGAGGCAGAGCGCCTCGGCTCTGCCGTCAGACCCACAGGGCAAAGCGGGGAGCGGGGTCAGGCTCTGCGGGTGCAGCAGCTCCGGCGAGCGCTGCCCTGCAAGCGGCATTCCCGCAGGGATGGGCGCAGAGGAAGGATACACCAGGTAAGTGCAGGTGATCATCGCCCGCTGGCGAACCGGCGTCCGAATCGCCTCCAGCGGTTCTGCTTTTATGAACTCCTGGAAGGCAGAACAAGGTGATGGTTACGGTCACATCCACCTCCACCCCACTCTGGGCATGGGCCAAGCTTTAGGGTGATTGCTGCCTCGAAGCCCAGCCCCTCCAGGACAGCAAGCCAGGATGGCCTGACACCCCAAATGCTGCACAACCACCTCGGACAACACGGCCACGGAGGTGCAGCACCATCGCTCACTGCAAGTCTGCTTTTGCTCGCAGCGAGCCATTCTCCCACCGCTCAGCTCCCTGCTGGGACCTGCCCTCTCTCAAAGGGCAGGCAGAGCCCAGACTGCAGGTCTGCAGGTCCACGGAGGTCAGCACCCTGCTCCAGCAGAGCCCAGCAGACAGGCGGGGACAGGGCTCAGCAGGGCAAACTCATACCCGCCCTTCCCACAAGGCACCCAGACCCCAGCTCCAGAGATGGAGCAGCTACACCTACGCTTAACCCTCAGCAACGTGGGTTGGGAACCTGCCCCGGTGTCCTCTAGGACCAGCCCCAAGCCAGGCCACCCTCCAGGGCTTGCTCTTACCACCATCTGGGCCACAAGCTCAGCTTTGCGGGAGAAGACGAAGTCCCCACACTTCACACCGTTGTAGATGGCTTGGCTGATCATGCAGATGCTCCGGATGAGGCACAGCTTCAGGGTCAGGTCCTGAGAGCAGAACCCAGGGTGAGAGGTGAAGACCAGGCTTACCGCACAACGATAACTTGTCATCCCACCCAGCACTGGTGTCCCTCCAAGAAAACCGGTGCTCAGGCTGAGCACAACAGCTTGGCCTGTGCTGTTAGTAGCGTGTGGGCTCAGCTCTCTGCTCTTTATCCACGTTACAGGCTCTCTGGTGACTGGGGAGCAGAAGGGCACCCTGTCCCCGCTGGCCACCCCAGTGTCACAGACTAGCTGGACACCAGGAGCCTCTGCCCTGGCAGCACGTGGGAAGAGGACAGTCCTCCAGGGTCTCCCTCCTCTCCGCCGAGGCAGCACCCCGAGCACGCTCAAGGCAACTCCAGAAGTTGGCAGGAGCTCTTCCTCCTACACAGCTTGGGGTCTAGGACAGTCGACATGGGGTCGAGAAGAGGCACCCCGATTAAGAGCGCTCCCAGCCCTCAGGTGAGCCCCTCGGACGGGCAGGGAGCCAGGGGAGGGTTTGAGCGAGAAGGTCCCCAGCTCGGTGGCTGGAGATGCTCTGCAGAAGCTGTTAGTGCCAGTGGGAGCCCAGAAGGAAAACGCATTAGTGGAGCCCAGAGGAGTCGTCCTTGGCCTGACAGTTCAACTTGACAAATGCCATTTTTCTTGTTCAGCCTTTAAAAAGAGAAATATAAAAACAGCCCCTTGTTGCCCCCAGGACAGTAACATGAATTTTAATATCTGCCCATTGAATGATTGTTCCAAGGGGAAGCAGGAAAATTAGTTTAGCGGATTTTAGCCAAGCTGTGGGTTGCAGCTTGGTCTCTGGAGTCCCCAAGCTTCCCCAGCAAAGCACGGGTGCGGGGAGTCAGAGGGGCTGCCTGACCGTCCTCTCTGCGGGCAGGGGAGGTGAGCACCACACCGTACCAGAGCCCTGGAGCAGCTCCGGGGAGGGAACCCCAGCCCTCGCCTCCCAGGGCAGGCACGGCTCGGTTTGCCACGAGTGCAAACCCAAACTGGCTCGCTCCCTCCTGGGGACGGCTCTGCGAGCTCCAGCCACGCAGAGCTCGCAGGAAAGGCACGGCCTCAGCAGAGCGGGTGGGCGGCGGTCTGCCCGCCGGCAGCGAGCTCGGCCGCAGGCACCCATGGGAGGTCAACACAGCCTTTGGTCAGCTCAGCATTTCACCATGGTGGTGCCCACCCGAGCCATGCTTTCACCTACAGCTCCTGTGCTGCCAGAAAGGCGTTTTTCTCTTCCCCTCTGCTGTGAGTTTTGGCACTTTCGGTTCCAGCACGGAGGACCGGGCTGGGGAGCTCAGGGCGAGGAGCAGCAGCAGCAGCTCCCGCAGCTCTCCTGGTCCCCACGGGCAGAGAAGTGCTGCTGTGAGCACAGCACGGGGCTGCTCTCGAGGGGAACCCAGAGCAAGAGGCAGACAGAGACAGCAGGAAAGAGCAGAGAGTAGTTCAGATTTAATGCCTCACACTGTACCTTGGTTTCTACCTTTATTCCCAGAACCTGAACAAGTGAAAAAACAAAACACATTAGCAATGCACAAGTGAGCAGACTCTGCAGTGAATGACCTTCTCCCAGGGGTTGCCCGCAGGTCCCAGCAGGACCCTTCAGGCGGAGCATCCGGAACAGCCTGGCTGCTCCAGCTCGTCCGGGTGTGCTCTCCCTCCCCAGGGAGGACAGGGCGTCCCAGCAGCTTACCTTGGTGTTAAAGTACTGGAAGACGTTCTTCAGGATGTCTGCTTCGATCCTGGACAGCACCAGCTCCTTGGGCGCATACACAGCTACGTATCCATAGCAGAGGATGAGAGTGCTCTTTATTTTCTCCACTTCGTTGTCACTACGGTCCTGTTACAGCAGATGAGAAAGTTAATGGGGGGAATGGTGGGGAAGCCAGGGCCAGCTCTTCCCACGTCTCACGGGGAGGTGGTTTCTGCAGGGTCTGCCTGACCAGCTGAAGGTGCCCCCTAGAAGACAGGGCCCCTCTGAGCGGGTTTCAGGCCTTTGCTTCCCATCATTTTGGTGGTGGCAGCGACCTCCAGAGCCCCTATGGAGCGTCAGGCGTCCGAGCGTGAGCTGCACTAACAGCACGTCTCTACCCGAGGCACGACCCCCAGTTTGCCATCGAGTGTTACCTGTTAGAGCCCTGCGGGGACGTACATGAGCCCCAGCCTGGCCAGGTTAACTGACAGTTAATTACCATGCTAGAAATCAGCATCCGCTGCCCATTAACCAGCGCTGCTGAAAGGTTTCACCTGCACCGTCCCAGGGAACAGTTGGTGGCTGAACCCCCTTGCACCACGGCCTGAGGGGCAGGGCAGGGACAAGGGCTGCAGGAGGGCTTCCACGGCCAGCTCCCGAGCTCCGGGCACCTTTCTGTCGTGGGCCAGGGTCTCTGCCATGCCCGTGCAGCCCTAATCCTGTCCCTCAAACATCCAGTCTTAGAGACCAGGAATTCAAATAGCTGCCTGGGTCAGAAAGTTTGAGGACAGGTTTTTGCTGCCAGCGCTCAGGGCATTGTCCTGGGGCGTTCGCATGGCTGCGGGAGTCGCTTGGGGATCGCTGTCAAGCAGCAACTTTGGTGACAGCCAAACCACGCTCCACATCAGGCCGGGGTCCCCCGACGGACACAGAAGCCAAGTTACAGCTTGCTTGAGCCCACCCAGCAAGCAAGCAGCTTCACCGGGACGCAAGTCTGCAGGAGCGTACGGCTGAGAGCGAGGAGCTAATGCCAAGCAGCCTCTGATGCCAAGAGCAGCTCTCTGGAGAGGCGGAGGGTATCCCAGCCCCCAGCCAAATGCACCGAGGCAGGAAATTAACTCCTTTCCCGAGGAGCGCTCCAGCACACACCATATCCGAAGAAGGCTGCATGAGCCTTTTGCTGCCGGCTGTGTCACAGCAGGGGCCCTTTGGCTCTTACCTTGAAGATACTGAACAGTCCCGCAGATTTCTTGAAGACATCAGACCTAACAAAGTCTTCCAGCTTGGCCAGGGTTTCCTCCAGGTGATTTATTGCACATATCCCAAAGCAGGAAGCAAGTCCCTGGAGGAAGCAGAGAAAACACATTAGCAGAAAGCTATTAATTCACCAGCCCCAGCTGACACTTAAAGAGAGCCTCTTTATTGGTTTAATTCCTGGCACCTGAGCCATGCCCAGCTGGGAGCAGTCCTGGCAGCCAGCACTCCCCTCTCCCAGGGCAGGGACTTGCCTCCAGGGGATATAGGGCACAATAACGCTGTCCTTGTCTGGGTGACAGGCTGGGACACAGCTCGAGAGGAGCCACAGGGGCAGGACAGACACGGCGCGCGCTCTCCAGCGGGCAGATGTCAGCCGCTCTGCGGTAGACAGGAGCCCGGTCGAGCACTCCGGCTGGAAGCGAGAGCAAAGCAGGCTTAGCAGGTCCTGCCTTTCTGCTATACCTCCAGGAGGTCTAGCAAGCTGGGTTGAAACTCCATAAACAGTTTATTCAAGAGCAGCCCTTGACAGAGTTGTATAAGCTGGAGTAAAGCCAGGCACCATTAGCTTGTGTTTGCACTGCACTTAAAGGCAGCTGCAGGCAGGGGGGGAGCGCTCGGCGGTGGGGCGATCAAGCCGGGCAGAGCAACACGGTGCAGCGCCGCCGGCTGAATTTAAAGGGAAGCCGGACCACGAGTCTGGCCACGACAGGCAGGAGGAGCTCAACCCCGACCTCAGCTCCACAGTAGCGAAGGAGGGTCTGAGCTGGCAGTGAAGAAAACGCTGCAAAGCATCCACGAGCAGATGACTTTTTAGTAGGGCCTGTAGCAATAGGACAAGGGGGAATGGTTTTAAACTAAAGGAGGGTCGATATAAGGAAGACATTTTTTACACTGAGGGTGGTGAAACACTGGACCAGGCTGCCCGGAGAGGTGGTGGATGCCCCATCCCTGGACACATTCAAGGTCAGGTTGGACGGGGCTCTGAGCAGCCTGATCTAGTCGAAGATGTCCCTGCCCATGGCAGGGGTCTCTGAGCAGCCTGATCTAGTCGAAGATGTCCCTGCCCACGGCAGGGGGTTGGACTAGGTGACCTTTAAAAGGTCCATTCCAACCCAAACCGTTCAATGATTCTATGACTTGAGCACATGAGCTGGAGGTTGCCCAGGAAAGGTGGAGCAGCATCCCCAGCTGCTCCAGCGAAGGCAGCAAGTCTGCGGTGTTATGGTGGGCGCGAGGCTCGGTGGAGCGCAGCACAGGAAGACAGAGATGTCACCAGACCATCCTGGCACAGCCAAGAGCTCCTGGAGCCCAGAGAAACGTCTCACCAGCTAGAGATGCTCTGGGGAGCAGGGGGAGACACTGCCACAGCCCCCAGGGTGACACCAGCTGGGTGGGCTGCAGCCCAGAGGAGTGGGAAGAGCTAGGTCCCCCCCCTGCCACAGGGACGGGGCAAGCTTGAGGGTCCGAGGGAGCAAGAAGCTCACACCGAAGGCACGAGTTAATGCTGCAGAAGATGGGGACATTTCATGATTCAGCCACGCTAATTTAACAGTTGGCTGTCAAAGCAGGGCGCTTAGCCCATCTGACCCCACGGCAAGCCAGGACAGGCAGCCAAGCCAGAAGAAAACTCCTGTTTTTTTCCTGTGGCGCTGGCTTAACTCCCCGAACCTGTGGGGCTACACGAGCCCCAGCCCAAGGAAGAAGCAGGAGCCAAAAAGCCCCTTCTGGCAGCAGGCAGAGGCTCACTGGGCTGTCACACACGCAGAGCCAGGCAGGCTGCCAGGGACAGGACAGCGATGACGGCTCTGCCCACGAGATGGCACCTGGCAGTAACAGAGCCTGAGCAGCTCCAAACACATCCCGGGCTGCCACAGCACCTCCATCCCTGAATCCTGCAGAGACCCTCCTGGCACCAAAGAATTTGTGGGTCCGTTCATGAAATTCAACGAGGCCAAGTGCAAGGTCCTGCACCCGGGTCGAGGCAACCCCCGGTGTCAGCTCAGGCTGGGGGACGGATGGGTGGATGGAGAGCGGCCCCGCGGAGGGGGGGCTGGGGGACACCGGTGGGTGACAAACGGGACGTGAA